ATATGATCAGTGAACATAAATACATCACCTCAGCAATAAAAAAAAGTCACCTACAACCTGACCAACTGACTTGAAAATGTCAACGAGTTGCTCCTGTGTTGTGTTGTATAAGTATGTGCTTGATTTGGAAACTGAAAGATGGTGCTTTGCCCATGTTGTAGGGAACATCGTCAGCTGTGGTGATTGGTTAGAAACCACCAGGTTGACAAGCACCAGAAAAAGAACACTGGTTGTGAAAGCATGACCCGAGAGGGAATCAAACCCCCGCCCACTTGATAGGCGCATACTAGAACCGACTGGGTATTTTCCCAAGTCATCATTTACCAATAGACTATCTTGCCAAAGCTACAGCTCAAAACACGAACTTGCTAGCATACACAAGCAACATGAAATAATATAGTACATGTACCACCTTCAGTGGTAAAGTCGCTCAAAAACCCGTGACCAGGTGTGGATCTGAGTGCCCCGCAATTTACCAAGTGCTCAAAATGCTACGGTATTAAATTGCAGTGTGGCCAACAACGAAAGGGTATGTTGTCTTTCACGCATCAGTGGACGTTAAAACTCCGGCCCTGGTACTAACTCACATAGAACGGCTTGGGCTTGGGTCAAAGTTCATGCGCTGACATACCTCAAACATATATGCATGTTGAGATGTTGGAGAGTAATTCATACAGCCTCTATTTTTTTCTGTTCCACCAGACAGGGGTTTTATTCTGCCCTGAGCATGCAATACACTACGTTCAAGGTGTGTGGTAGATCAGTGTCCGGAAATTATAATGCCCACACAAGTGGGCTCTACTAGACCTCATTGTATAGTATGATGTTCTCACGTCTTACATATAGTCTCTGTCCCTAACATTAGACAATTGAACTCAAAAGGCTATTCTCAATCTTATGCCGTGAGAGTGGTTATCACGTGAGCCAAAACCGTGGCAGGGCATGGTTATGAGTCACATCGATATCACGTGCCTCTTACTATAAGGGTTTTATATGTCCAGTGGTCTGGACACTCTAGCAAAGAGTAGAGGGTAGTGAAGAATGTTATTTGAGGGCCTCTAACTAAATCCTAGTTTCGATGTGTCTTGACCACTTGACTATTTGAGTGTGTACTGAAGGTGAAGCCGGAGAGACGGCGAGAACTTCCTCTTAGGAGGAGAAGAGGGAATAAGAGTGGATAAGAGAAGAGAAGAGCAAGGGTAAGAGAGGGAAGAGAATAAGCAGGTGTGTAAGAGTTGATTTAACTGGGGAATCTGGGTATCTCCAAGTGTTTAAATACTGTAAGTAAATATGAAATACACATGAAACTCTAGTTGAAGCATGTAATGAAAAGCTACGTTAATTACGAGTAAAACATCGTTAGCGCCGTGCAAAGCACGGCAATCCCCGACTCTGAGTTACGGTGAAGTGGTGATACATCGTTGTACGAAGTAGACAAGTACAGTGAATGAACGGTTATTGAAAATGTAGGAGCAGTGTTGCTATGTAAAGGTGAATGAATTGAATGCGGTGTTGGAGTTTTTTGCAATCCGTTGTGTAAACGTGAAAGAGATATCATTAAGGTAGAAAGTTGTGCTATCTAACGATTTACAAACTAGTCTTCCGAGCACTGATCTGAAATAACCCAGCAGCCAACGCATGTCCTTAATTGTTTCGTTGTGTTGTCTGGATTCGATATCAGTTACTGCGGTTCCGACCATAGTCGTCTGCTGAAACCGAGGTACCTGTTTGGAGTCTTCTGGTTCTGCAGCTGTTAGGCTGCGGTCTTTCTTGGTTGTTGATGTGCAGGTTGGATAAGCAGGAGTATAATCGATTACCTGTGACGATACACGTGTGGAGAAGATCATAATTTAGTTTAGGTACTATATATTCGGGGTGTTCGTGACCTGGTTTTCGTTTCGCTAGCGGTAATGCAAGTTGACGAGGTTGGTGAATTTTAAGTCAAAGTTAGGCTCAATTGCTAGAACCGGTGTAGTTGTTGTAGTTAATAGTGTAGTAGTAGTAGTGTTGTGGTCGTTGGTTCGGTCATAGTTTACGCAATCGGCGTCTAAGCAGTGGGCGTCTAGCGTCTTCAACACGTACCACTTCTGAGTAAGTGAGCTTGGGAGTTAAAATTTCTTGGGTTATCATTTTCTTTTTGATTATAGAACATTGTTTGGAAAGTTCATCGTTCAAAATTATCATTTGTGGTGTTGAAGTAGAAAGGTATGGGATTGCGTTTGAAGACTTAGTTTGAGATGCTGAGGTTTCGTAGATTCAATTATGCTCTCCAACGTGGAAAGTGATGCTTCCGAGGGCATGGTCTCCACAATCGTTGATTCGCCACAGTCTGCTTCTGTAACGCTGGTGGATGTGTTAACGGATGATGATGAAGTCGAACGTGTGATATCCAGAGATGCAGAAATTGAAGTACTGGAGGTCCAAGTTGAAGAGCGACGGAAACGTCTTCTTGAACTTGTTGAACATCGGATCGAGAGGGAATGTCTGATGGATGTTTATAAGGAATTGGCCAATCTGTTTGATGAAGCGATGTTGGAGTTGGAGAAAAAAAAGCAGTCACAGATACAACAAAAAGCGTTGGTGGATCTTCTACGCAAACAGTTGGAAGAGAAGGTAGAAAAGTGCGAGTTTTTACAATCAGAAGTTGTTCGACTTGAAGGGAGGAATGGAATCTTGGAAGCGGAAAACGATAGGTTGAATGTGTTGTTGAGATAACGAGATCCCTGTGTCAGTTATAAAGATTTGCGGACGAATTTTGTACTTTAGTAGTGATATTATTGGATGTGCTTGGAGTTTGACACAGTTCTTGTTTTAGCGATCTGACTTATGAATGAAACAAACAAATGCAAGTTGCGTCCTGTAGTTGCTTGTAAGAAAGTTTTCGCTGCTAACCCTGTACTACGATCGAAGTAATATTAAGTTATCGTTAACGCTGCGCGATGAAATTTTGTGGTCCCGTACGTAGATGCTTGTTAAGTTATTTAATTCCTGTGCTGTTGGCCTCTCTTTTAGCTTGTAATGAAAAGCTACGTTAAATACGAGTAAAACATGTAAGAACTCAAGTGAGACTTGTAAGAAGAATAACAAATACATGATACGTGTGAGAGGATGCTGTGCTTATACCTACGAGGGTGTATCGTGACATACAAGTGGTAAAGCAGGTCAAGTGGGGCTTTGACTGATCTGATGGATGCTGTCGCTGTAGCATTTCACATGTCCGCAGCACTATATCTCTGACACGCCAAGCAGTATGGGTAAAATGTAGACCACACAGTCTTTCCTCATACACTCACGCTTCACTTCTGGGCCAAGGGTTTGTCCGGCTTAAGGGATCGAACTCTTGGAGATTGCGTTGAATAATAACACTATGCCACTGTGCCATACAGACCATCATCAAGTTCCGAATATGTGGCGTCTTGTGGGTAGAGAGCCGTCTGGAAAATATGCCAGCCGGCAGATCGAAGTGCAACGGGAGATGCTCTACCATTTTAGTCGCATATGCTCTGTTGTTCCAGCGTACGGAGGTCTAGTGTAAGAATAATGTGTTGTCTGATTCTACATATGAGGGGAACTCACGCAACATACAGAGCAATCAGATCGTCTTACGCGATTGGGTGTAACTGAACACAACCCCGTTATCATTGTCTTATTTGGCCTTTCTGTCAGGCCCTGATATAGCTGAACGGTTTAGGTTGTGGCCCACCCTTTGACTAATACGTATGCAGGTTCGAACCTCTCTGGGTAATTCAAATGGCTTCTCTTTTTTTTTGGATTGCTTATCCAAGTACTTTGTGCGCAACTGTCTCTCTCCATTGCGAGAAGAATAACTCCCTGTAGTTTATCCTGCTTTTCGTGGATACTCAAAGGAGAAATCGAGCCTCAACTTGAGTGTGTATGCTGCCGTGAGATAGAAACAGGCATCGCTCGAGCTAAGCGAAAACTAAAAGGCAAGCACACACTATACTCGGCCCAGACATTAGAACAAGCGGATGTACTTGCTTCTGCCAACCAGGTGGCTCCCGCGTTCTTTGGAAAGTGGCAAAAAAAAAATGATCCATTCTTCAATGCTCACAGGAAGAATTGGCAAGTAAGGCCTGGTGTGTTATCACAATAGCTGTAGCCCTGGCTCGCCGTAGCACTCTTTAAGTTTCCAGCTGGCAGATCCCCGCCGGACCAGGGAAAAAAATCACTATACATGCGGATAAGAGTGGCAAAAAAACTTATGATCCCTCAACAAACCCCCGCATCCTTGATTTTCTCATCTATAATTTCAAGGCGTCTTGACCACTTGACTATTCCAGTGTACACTAAAAGTAGTTTACCAGGTTAAACAGTGTTTCTAACACTTTAAATGCTGGCCTGAGTTGACAAGGAGCAGCGCTCATGCCCAATACTGTAGGCCTATCCCACGGGCTACTTAGTCCAGACGTTAAAACAAATGGATATATATGACATAAAATTTCTGATTGCTTTGATCTCTTATCCCACGTCCCTCTTGGAAAGTGGACAAATCGAATCCCCGCCTCCTTGCCATGTAACTTTGTGCTTCAAGACTATGCAAGCGCATACCAGGAGTGGGAAACAATGTCATGTAAGAATCCTTTTATTGTCACTCCTGATTGTTGAGGCTTGGTAAGGAATCAAACTTGAAATATAGGTCATGTCTTGGGCAGTTTACTATTTGAGTGTGTACTAAAAGTGGTGAAGTAGGTCAAGTGCAGTTTGATGACTGACTAACTTGCCAATCATGTCTGCAGCACTATCGAGCAGAACAGGAAAAAAATGTCAATCATTTCCCATCAAACTCAAAGGAGGAATCGAACCTCCGCCTCCTTGGAATACTTATATAGTTTTGGGATGAATGATCCATGATCTCAAGGCGTCTTAGCCACTCGACTATTTGGGTGTGTATTAGAGGTCGTTGACTTGGGAAAGTGTGATCAGACTTTTCTTGTTCCAACAACTGGGAAAAAATTACATGTTTCCATGTCAAAGTATTGCCCTCAAAGAAGGAATCAAACCCCCGCCTCCTTGAAAGATGAGATTTATCCTTGTATAGGCGTCTTGACCACTTGACTATTTGAGTGTGTAGTAGAGCTCATGGTCTCAGATAATTGGCTTTGAAAATGATTACTGATTATTACTATACATCAAAGGACAAAATGCACCGCAGGTCTTCTCTAGATATTCAATTTCTACGGTACACTCAAAGGTTGAGCCCCTGCCTCCTTGAAAAGGTAGATTGTTGGATTTTACAATTTCAAGGTGTCTTGGCCACTTGACTATTTGAGTGCATACTAGGAGTGGTGAACCAGGTTAAAAGACAAGCGGTCTTGGGACAAAGCATGGGTTGAGTGACGACGCGTTTCACTGACCAACATGCACCTCTTCAGCTCATACCATGCTCATCTGATTATGTATACCCTTTAGGGTGTGTTGCTGGAAATTATTAATGCCCTTATGGCCTAGTAGTGGTAGTGTGAAGTGTTTGTCCGGTGTACATTCACCGCACCCCTGAACCCCTTTTTATCCTTGAGCTATTACTATTTTTTATTGATGAGGTGAGTTCTGGTTCCGTCGTTCCAAGCCAGGAACAACTTTTCTGTTACAACCAGAGATCAGAACCGATTACAATGACATCATTGTTCACACGTCATCCTCAAGTCTCACTTTCCCTTCTTCAATCTATGTCCGCAACCTGTTTCAAAGCAAAACAGAGTTTCTATACAGTAGCCAAAACAAAACAAAAATCCCTACACAATGCTGCTATCCTGATACAACTACATAATATAGAGTAAAACTAACCAAGCAGGTGGATCATGTGCCTCTTACTCAAGTGTTGCCAGGATCCCAGTTGATGGGTCACCAGAGACCCTCCTGTTCGCAAGATGCGGGGTTCGACATGCTCTTCTGATGTGGCAACTCCGGAGATTACTTAGGCGCCTGTAGCATATTATACAGTATGTATAGTATATAAGCTAGCATGTAGTTACTATGTGTTTGCGAGCTCAATTGTTCAACCTCACTATGACAGACTAGAGTGTTGTTACTTGTCCATCTCATTTTTAGGGCATTCACACAATGCTGAATCCTTTCAAACTCAGATCGGAACCAAAGGCGTATCAGGCCATACAAGTGCAGCCTGGTAAGGAATCGTTCCTAGCATATTTATTTTTGAGAGAAAAAAAAACGTGGCTCTACATTTTCACAAGGCCATTATTTCAAGGGTCTGCTTAGGAGAAAGCCTCTTGATTACAAGAACAAACCAAGGGAAATACCATTGCACCATCAGGCCATGAATACCTGCACTAAAGTTGCCTGAGACGTGCGCTCGAGTCTTATGTCCATGCAAAAAGAAATCCCAGAGTGATTAACAATTCGAGAATGATATCACAACATCAGGTAAAAAAAAAAAAACTCACATTGTCTCATGTTTGGGATGGCAAATAACATACTGAAAGGAGGGATCGAACCCCCGTCTCCTTGAAACCTGAAATCCTGGGGCAGTTTTATAATTTCAAGGCGTCTTAACCACTTGACTATTCGTACAAGTGGTAAACCAGGTCAAGTGCAGTTTGATGAATGCTCTTATATGTGACAAAAAATGTAACTCATTCAGTCATTCCTTATACATTCAAAGGAGGAATCGAACCTCCGCGTCTTTGAAATGTTAATGTGAGATGCACTCAAGGTGTCTTGTCCACTTGACTATTTGAGTGTGTATTGAAATTCGTTGACATCACCTACCTTTTCCAGCAACTGAGAAAAAATTAACTCTTCTGATGTTAAGATGTTACCCTCAAAGGAGGAATCGAACCCCCGCCTCCTTGAAAGATGAGATTTCACTTTGTATCTATAATTTCGAGGCGTCTTGACCACTTGACTATTCGAATGTGTACTACAAGTGGTGAACCAGGTCAAGTGCAGGCGACTAATTTAGTACTTTCTTCTGTAACTTGCCAACCCATCTATATCTATGGCACCTCACGCAGCGCGGAAAAAATGTATTACACTGGACCCCCTCGTTGAAATATAAAATGCCGAACCAACGATCTATAATCTCAAGGTGTCTTGGCAGATTGCATTCTCCTAACCCTTTATTGCTATCCCATTTCAATGCCTGGATTCAACTTGCTACCGTCCCTGCTCTCGCCATTTCCCCATCCAGAATAAAAATATGTGTGAATCCCACTTGTTGGAAGATGGAAAAAAATTATATATTCTCAGATACTCACAGGAAGACTCGAACTCCCGTCTCCTTGGAATATGGACAATGCTTGCTTGTCAAAATCTCAAGGCATCCTGGCAGCTTGACTAAGTGAGTACACTATCAAAGTGGACTACCAAATTTGTATACTGGCGTTAACCCGATGTATACTTGAAGGAGGAATCGAACTCCATGCTTTCTTGATTTTCTCATCTATTATTTTCAAGGGCGTCTTGACCACTTGACTATTCAAGTGCGTACTACAAGTGCAGTTTGATGAATTGTTTACTGTAGGGATAGGTGACTAATTTCAGTGC